AAGAAGACTTACAGGTGGCCAACAGGCACATGAAAAATGCTCAGTGTGGCTAATTATTAGAGAGACACAAATCAAAACTACAGTGAAGTATCCCCTCACACCTGTCAAAATGGCCACTTTCAAAAAGTTGACAAATAATAACTGCTGGAGAAAGTATAGAGAAAAGAGAGCCCTCCTACACTGCTGGTGGGAATGTAAACTGGTGCAGCTTCTATGGGAAACATTATGGTGGTTCCTTAGAAAACTAAAAATAGGGTTACTGTATGATTTCAAATCCTAAAAGATAATGCTGTTAAAGTACTGCACTCAATATGAAAGAAAAAACTCAGCAGTGGCCACAGGACTGGAAAAGGTCAGTTTTCATTCCAGTCCCAAAGAAGGGCAATGCCAAAGAATGTTCAAACTACTGCACTCATTTCACGTGCTAGCAAGGTTATGCTCAAAATCCTTCAAGCTAAGCTTCAACAGTGTGTGAACCGAAAACTTCCAGATGTTCAAGCTGAGTTTAGAAAAGGCAGAGGAACCAGAGATCACATTGCCAACATCCGTTGGATCATAGAAAAAGCAAGAGTAATTCCAGAAAATCATCATCTTCTGCTTCATTCACTATGCTAAAGTCTTTGACTGTGTGGATCACAACAAACTATGGGAAATTCTTAAAGGGATGGGGATACCAGAACAGCTTACCTGTCTCCTGAGTAACCTGTATGCAAGTCAAGAAGCAATAGTTAGAACTAGACATGGAACAACAAACTAATTGAAAATTGGGAAAGGAGTACATCAAAGCTATATTTGTCACCCTGCTTATTTAACTTATATGCAGAACACATCATGCAAAATCGCAGGCTGGATGAAGATCAAGCTGGAACTAAGATTGCCAAGAGAAATGTCAATAACCACAGATATGCGGATGACACCACCCATGGCAGAAAGTGAAGAGGAACTCAAGAGCCTCTTGATGAGGGTGAAAGATGAGAATGAAAAAGCTGACTTAAAACTCAACATTCAAAAAGCTAGGATCATGGCATCAGGTCCCGTCACCTCATGGCAAATGTTGTTCAGTCCTGTCTGACTCTTTGTGACCCCACGGACTGTAGGACACCAGGCTTCCCTGACCTTCACCATCTCCCAAAGCTTGCTCAAACTCATGTCCATTGAGTCAGCTATCCCATCATTTGTCATCCCCTTCTGCATTCAGTCTTTCCCAGGATCAGGGTCTTTTCTAATGAGTCATCTCTTCACCTCAGGCAGCCAAAATATTGGAGCTTCAGGTTCAACATCAGTTCTTCCAATAAATATACAGGATTGGTTTCCTTTAGGATTGACTGGTTTGATCTCCTTACTGTACAAGGGACTCTTAAGAATCTCCTCCAACAGCACAGTTCAAAAGCATCAGTTTCTTTGGCACTAGGTCTTCTTTATAGTCCAGCTCTCACATCCATACATGATTACTGGAAAAACCATAGCTTTGACTGTACAGACCTTTGTCAGTAAAGTAATGCCTCAGCTTTTTAATACACTGTCTATGTTTGTCACTGGTAAAGAATCTGCCTGCAATGCAGGAGACCCGGGTTCGATCCCTAGGTCAGGAAGATCCCCTGGAGAAGGGCATGACAACTCACTCCAGTATTCTTGCCTGGAGAATTCCATGGATAGAGAAGCCTGGTGGGCTACAGTCCATGGAGTCGCAAAGAGTTGGACCTGACTGAGCGATTATCACATTAGGTTTGTCAAAGCTTTCCTTCCAAAAAGCAAGCGTCTTTTAATTTCATGGCTGCAGTCACCATCTGCAGTGATTTTGGAGCCCAAGAAAATAAAGTCTGTCACAGTTTTCATTGTTTCTCCATCTATTTGCAATGAAGTGATGGGGCTGGATGCCGTGATCTTAGTTTTTTGAATGCTGAGTTTTAAGCTAGCTTTTTCATTCTCCTCTTTCACCTTCATCACGAGGCTCTTTAGTTTCTCTTTGCTTTCTGCCATAAGAGTGGTGTCATGTGCATATCTGAGGTTATTGATATTTCTCCTGGCAATCTTGATTCCAGCTTGTGCTTTGTTCAGCCCATTATTTCGCCTGATAGATGCGGGAAAAGTGGAAACAGTAGCAAATAGATGGGAAAATAGTGGAAAGTGGAAACAGTGACAAACTTTATATCTTCTTGGGCTCCAAAATCTCTGTGGATGGTGACTGCAGCCATAAAATTAAAGGACGCTTGCTCCTTGGAAGAAAAGATGTGACAAACCTAGCTACCATATTAAAAAGCGGAGACATCACTTTGCTGACAAAGGTCTGTATAGCCAAAGTTATGGTTTTCCCAGTAATCATCAGAAGTATGGATGTAGAGTTGGACCATAAAGAAGACTGAGTGCCAAAGCATTGATGCTTTTGAACTGTGGTACTGGAGAAAACTCTTGAGAGTGCCTTGGATAGCAGGGACATCAAACGAGTCAATCCTAAAGGAAACCAGTCTTGCATATTCATTGGAAGGTCTGATGCTGAAGCTGAAGCTCCAATACTTCGGCTACTTGATTTGAAGAGCCAACTCATTGGAAAAGACGCTGATGCTGGGAAAGTTTGAAGGCAGGAGAAGGGGGTGACAGAGGATGAGATGGTTGGATGGCATCATTGATTCAATGGACATGAATTTGAGGAAACTCCAGGAGATGGTGAATAACAGAGGAGCCTGGTGTGCTGCAGTCCATGGGGTTGCAAAGAGCTAGACATGACTAGAGAATATTATACCTATTGAAATCAGTCAGGCAGAATAAGGCAAATACTATTATGATCTTACTTACATGGAATATAAGTAATTAGAAGTTTTGGATTACCAGATACAACCACTGTCCACAAAACAGATTAGCCACAAGGACCTACTTTATAGTCAGTATTTTAGAAATTACAGTATTTTGTAATAACCTATAATGGAAAAGAATCTGAAAAAATAACTGGATCACTATGATGTATACCTGAAATTAGCACAATTTCAGGTGCTATACTTCAATTAAATATATATATACCTTTGTGTGTCTGTCTGTCTGTGTCTTTTAGGGTCAGCAGGCCAGCACCACATTGGGATGACTGCCCTTACCTGTCCTCCCTACTCATCTATACAGTTTCATGTACTTTACTCAGAAGATAGTTTGCAATGGCTCCTAACAAAAGAATCCTCTCATTTTCAGTGTTATCTCTTAGTGGTTGTGTGAGATGTTAATATTAGGAGAAGATGAATGGAGGCTATATTGGAATTCTCTATATTATCTTTTCAACTTTTTTTTTTTAATACAAAGTTAATACAAAGTTAGGCCATGAAATAGGTGACCTTTATGTCAACTGTCTCCTGTAAACTCCTGAGACTTTTATAAGGGGAAAGTGGAATATTTTTAATTCAGTTTGCATCAGTTTAACCTAGAGGAGCAAAAGAAAGCTGTTAATAATTTCTCACTTTCAAGTTCAAGTAAACAAGACAGTAATGGTTCCATTATTTTAGGTCATGAGAAGGAAAGTTGCTAAAAATTATAGGTTTAGATCAGAGACTCTTGACAGAAAAGTAGTGGAATGGTGGTCTATGAAGCCAGATTTTAAAATGAGTGAGGACGTGGGAACATTGAATTATAAAGCATTTGTATATAAATAATGGTGTCTTTCAATGAGTCTGCATGGCTGAGAGAATATTATTTATAGATGCAGAAGTCTGCATACTCTTAGGATCTGGAGGAAAATCCAGTAAAAAGACATCTGGGATGCCAGAAATAGAAGACAATGAATTTGATACTTTGCTAAAGGACGCAGGGGTAGGTAAATTAAACACCATGCAGGTGAAGAACTGAATTGTGATTCAGAGGCAGTAAACAGAATGTACAGTGATCATCATACATTCATCACCCAGTTTCAGCGGTTCCTGAATTGGTTTCATCTATACCCCTGCCCACTTGCCCCCTCCCACACTGTTTTTGAAGCAAGTCCTCAATAGGTATGATGTCATCCATGTATATTTTAGTATGTATCTCTAAAAGATCCCCTTTAAAAAATAACCACCAGCAGTATCATCCACAACAATAACAATAATCTCTAATCTCATCAAATACCCAGTTTCTTTTCAAACCTCCAATTAGTTCATATATGTATAAGTGTTTATAATAGACTTTGCCCCCTGAAATTTATGTATTTAAAAATCTAGATCATTTGCCTTAATTCTGAGTGTTATCACAAAATGCCATAGACTGGATGGCTTAAACAGTGAACACTTCTGGAGTCTGGGAGGTCCACGTCAAGATGCAGCATAAATCTACCATTTACTAGTTGTGTGCTGCCTGTCAACCCTTTGAAACTCTTCTGAGCATCATGTACATGTAATATGAAGTGGCCTTGAGGGCACCTTCTGGAGATAGGCTCTGTTGCCACTGTCAGGATGCTGGCCGCCCTACTCAAACCCACTCAGCTGTGTTACCATGGTCTTCAGGGGGAGCCTCTGTCAGTATCTCCCAGGGCTGTTGATTTTTCCCCATCAGCAACATAAGAAGTCAAAGAGTATAGAAGCAGTACAATACATGTATTATATAACATGTACATGTACTAAAATAACATGTACAATATATGTATAGATACATGTTAGTTTAGGGGCAGAGGGCTGGTATTTCATTTGTTTAGAGTCTAGAAAAAAACATATAGACCCACAACTTCCCTTATGTCCCAACTCGATTACAGGTTCATTTCTGAAATAGGTCAGACACATAGTGATTAATTTTGAAAATGGATGGACCAGGGATAGTTACCTGGATAGTTACCAGGATAGTATATGAAGGACTCTTATCCGGTGCTAGCATCTGTGTCCAAAATCTCTAACATGAAACCTTAAGAGAACTCCTGTTGGTGCCTGAGGAGTTGAGTCCTCTTGGTAATAATAACTGCCTGAATGAAATCAGCCTTTGGATGGAGAAAGAATACCCCATATTGGAAAGTAATTATAGCTTTTATACTTGTGTGTGTGTGTGTGCTTTCACAGCTTTTTGGAGACTACAGCCTATTTCTTCATGAGACCAAAAATTGGAGAGAAGGAAGTATCCCCAAATGTTTTCTTCGGTATCTGGCATGAATTCAGCTCTGACTTTAAAGACTTTTGGAAGAAAGAGAACAAACTTATTCTACAAGAAAGGTAGGTGTTTTTCATTTACACAGTAGCATTTTAAAGCTGGTGTTTTCTCAGGTGTGACCTGTTAGGGGTTGCCAGCTTTCACAGCCTGAATGAAAAACTAGGTCCTCACCCTGGTGTTTCCAGTCTAAGAGGGTGCTGGGGTTGGGCAGTACTTGGGGTTCAGGTAAGAAGAGTCAGCACAGTGGCTGATGCTGCAAAGGGCAGCTGGGGCGATGGTTTGTCAGGACCCTGTCTGGTAGACCAGATGATGTGGTGAGGAAGCCACACAGAAGCAGACAGGTAAGAAGAGGAGTGAAAGAACCCTGCTGAGATAACAGACCCACTTATTTCCAGAAAACCTTAAGAAAGTAAGATGAATCAGTTTGGTTTAACTTTTGCTCGATTCATGGGATACTGTCAAAAATTTCACCATTCATATCAAAATTTCTCCCAGGTGTCACCAAGAAAAAGATGATCTATATTTTTAAGAGATATTTTCAAGACTCTTATCAGGTTGTATCACATTTCCTTAAGTATATCTTCAGAAATGAAGGGAAATTTCCCTTCTTAAGTACATGGAATAGAGTCTCTGTCCCTTGATTATGAAGCTTATACAAGTATGTTGTTACCAAGTTGAGAAGCATGTCCCCAAATTGTGGGGTCTGAAGGGAGAATGAAAGGGAAACCAAACCCTAATCCTGAGCCTATTAGTGCGCTTCCCACATCCTGACCCTAACAAGGACTTTGCTTTAGAAAACGTATCTCTTAAGGGACTTTATTCATCATAGTACAAAGTTCCACAATTTTTTTTCATATCGTCTTCATTTTGGTCTTGCTTATATATGAAACCATGCTGGCTCACCTAGTTTTCACTTGTAAGTAGATTTCGATCGGTCTTTAAATCAGGTGAGATTACTTGCTGACACTTGCTGAGCAAGTGGACTGTTCTCGCTAATAGAATTACCTACCTAGAGCCCGCGACTCCATCAGAGCAGGAAGTCTGCCTCAGTGACCAGTGGATGGAAAAGAGAGCAGTCTGAATGGAAGGGAAACACTGTAAACATCTACTTGTAGATAGTGAGCTGGTTCTACCTCAAGATGCATCACCCAGGTTAATGTAAAGGACATTTGCCAGGAGTCCAGGTTGGTGAGGCGGGAGAGAGAACTGGGTGAACATGGGCCTGTCTGGACCACTGTTCAGATGTGGATGTTTCCAGCTTTTCACCAAGCAAAGCTTGCTCGGTTTGGAAAATGGTGAGGAGGAAACTGTTTTTAACTTTGGCATGTCGCAGACAGCCTCCCTTCCTGGTGCTCCCTGCTTCCACGCATGCCTCCTTTCAGCTCTGACCTAAGCCTGGGAAGGGCCTGGGGCTCAGTCACACTGGGTAGCAATATGGAAAGACCAGAGTTTCACTTTGCACAGGAGCTGGGATGATACTGATCTCAGAGGGAGAGACCCTAGTTCCCCGGCCAGGAATTAAACCTGGGGAACCTGGATGAAAACCAAGAATCCTAGCCACTAGACCACTAGGGACTAGAGGCGAGAAGCAAAAGTGGCCTGGACTCTTGCCCCTGTTTGTAAGCAGGACTGTGTCAAGGAGGCAGCAACTGTAAAAACAGGTCCAACATTTATGATTAGATGCCTAACACAATGCCTGGGAGAGCACACAGGAAAACAGTTTGTTCATCCCGCTCAGAAGGAGGGCAGAGATACACACCTGGAGAGGAGTGTGAAGTGACCTGTCCTTTCTTGCTTTTAAATCATGCTCTACTCCTCTTTTGATGCTTTAGACAGAAGACCCATTGGTTTTGTCTTGAGTCAGAAAAAAAAATTTTTTTCATGTATGTGGAACTAGGTTTGTACACTTATTAATTAGAGGTCTGTCTCCAGAGAAATCTGGATTCATTGAGCAACACAAAATATAAAAAATAATTTTTTTTAAATGTCAGCTTGACTCTATCCGGAGGATGGGGACAGACTGACATGAGTGCTGCCCAAGCACATTGTCTGCGTGTGAGGACCCAGGGACCTCAGCTCAGCTCCAGGGGGCCACCAGCATCCCCGACCACTCGGGATGCCCAGGGAGCTCAGGGGATAGGAGCTAGGTGACTTAGTACAGGGTGATGGAGGCACTGGTGCTTTTCTTTCTTTCTTTTTTTTTTTATTTAAAAAAAATTTGTATTGGAATATAGTTACTGTGCACTGTTGTGTTCGTTTCTGCTATACAGCAGTGAATCAGCTATACTTGTGTGTGTATGTGTATATATATATGTATATATAATATATCGCCTCTGTTGACACATGCTTTTCTGCAGTGATGGAGGGACCATGGTCCTGGGGGAGACAGTTGTGCCCAAGACAGTTTCATTGCTGGCAAATGCTCTGTTATACCTGGACTCGGTTTTTAGGCAGAGTCCAGTTGTGTGACGTGTGGTCATCGTCTCCTTCCATGTTGAGTTTCCAGGCCCAGGAGACCCTCAGTTATTTGATGGCAACCCTGTGTCTCTGGAGCTGACAGCCTAGTCCTGGTACAGTATGACGGGCGGGGGAAGCAACAAGGAAGGATTAGTTCCTCCAGAATTCCGTTGATGCAGATCTGATTAGGACCGTACCAGGTGGTCCTAGGGGTGAGAGTATCCTAAATGAGGAGACCAGTCTCCAGGAGCCAGGCCTCAAGCCCCATCATGCAGTGAGGCCTATCACCATTTCATTTGTAGTCAGCTTAAGACATTTTAATTTACTAAATCAATGATGGCATTAGTAAGGGTTGTGCTTAAAGTGCTGTCTAACTTAATTTGTTGGTTTAATTTACTCTGAGGAACCAGGAGAAAGGGCAACTACTCCTCTCACTGCGCAGGCGAGGGGCAGTCGGATCTGGTCTCAGCCCCAGTGGTCTGTTTTTGGAGGAAAAGTGTCTGTGTTCCCTGCCTTAGGATACTGCACATCAAACTGAAGGTGCCTCATACACTGCTAACATTCCTTTTCCATCATTTGTATGCATATGAGCTGTGTGTTCAGACTGAAATGGGATGTCATCAGAGTAGAAGGAAGCAACCATTTTCAAAGCAATGAAAAATAAACTTGAGCTAAAAAGACAGACTTACTGTTCTGTAATCATGTGTTTGTTGCACACCTAAGTGGGGCTGCCTCTTGCACCTCCACGCAGCACTGTCATATGGAGCAGTACGTGAAGTTGGTCAACCACTTACCCCTTTAATTCAGGCGTCAGCTTCTAGAGAAATGACCCATAAAGAAACCTTCCTCCTAGTTCTGATCCCTGTAGCAGATGCCTTGGCTGGAAAGTGACAAGACAGAACAGTGGCCAGTGGAGCCTTGGAATGTGTAAGGAATATGATGGACGCTCATTAAAGGAGTAATTCATATGCATTAAGATATAATAGGCAATTAAATTCATGAATTTATTATTTCAGCAAATATTTACATCCTGCTGTGTGCTCAGCAAATTTCCTGGCCATGTATATCTTACCCTCTAGTGAGAGAGGCAGACAATAAAAAAGTGAACACACACATTTTTAAATTATAGCTTGAAATTAGCACTATGAGGAAAGTAAAGAGTGAACCAATTTTGCAGAATGAAAAGCAGAAGAGTTTCACTTAGAAAGTGTGGTCAGAGGAGGCCTTTCTGAAGAGGTAACGTTTATGCTGACACCTAAAGAACTTGAGGCTGGTGAGGGGCAGGATGGTGAGCCTGGCTGGCAGAGGTGTGGGAAGGTCACAGAGCCTGACAGAAAGGACTGACTGCTCTCCAGGTCATGAGATGAATCTGAGGGAATAGGCAGGGGCCTGACCATTCAGGCCCTTGCAGTCATGCAAAGAGACTGACTTTTATCGTGGGTACAGTAAAAGTTCTTGCAGGGCTTTTGAAAGGGAATGCCCTGATGCGATTCACGCACAGAAGAGATGGTTGGGTCAAGTGGGTAGGAGATGGGGGACCATGGAATTGAGAAACGAGTTGGGAATCACTGAGGTGGCCCAAGTGAAAGGTGTGATGATCTGGACCAGGAGAGGCAGCAAGAGGTGGCAGGAAGTGGACCTTCTGCACACACGTTATCTTGAGTTCCTGACTGGAGCAACTTTGGTGGTCAGGAAAGTCTAAGTCTCAGCTGCATCATGACGAGCTTATGTTAACCAGATTTTAGAGATCAGGAAAGCAGACTTGCCCCTTTCTTTCTCCTAAAATGATTTACAAAAAGCCATGGCTAAGAAAAGATCTGAAACTGTGGATGTCAGAAAATGTTTTTTCTAAAACTTAGTTCTCCAAAAATGATGTAGAACTCTAAGGCGAAGGTCAGATTGAAAAAAAAAGTCATTGCACTTGCTTCTTTATCTTATCATGTTTCAAGAGATATTTTTAAATTTTGGGAAAATCCTTTCTCAAAGCCTCATGTTCAAAAATGGAAAAAATCACCCTGAAAGGTTCTGGTTTGAGCTTCTAACAGATAGTCAGGACCAAGAGTCAAGAAATAGCTTGTCCACAGACATTTTTTGCTTTGAAAAAGAATTTAAACATTTCTGGTGAAGAGACTTATGAAGGTATCCAAGCCATTATTAATTTCTCTTTAGCATTTGCTAAAAAGTTTTTTTGATGTATTAGCAAAGTTTGTAGTAAAACATATTTGGATCAAAATATGGTTCATGGAGTAAAGATATTTAAAAATTAATCATTGGAAATAACATTATGGAGTTTATAAAAGCTGAAGATAGGCTTCCTTGGTGGCTCAGTGGTAAAGAACCCCCCTGCCAATGCAGGAGACACAGTTTCAATCCCTGGGTTGGGAAGATACCCTGGGGAGGAGGACATGGCAACCCAATCCAGCATCAGTGCCTGGGAAATCCCATGGATAGAGGAGCCGGGCAGTCTACAGTCCATGGGGTCACAAGAGAACTGGACACGACCTAGTGACTAAACAACAGTGAACTGAAAATAATTCCTGAAGTAAGCCATTCCTTTGCCAGCAAGCTATTATTGTGGGGGTCATTTTCGATTTCTGTAGGAGCC